AGAAAAGATAGAACTATTTAAAAATATATGTATTTTTATGAAAATTAAAAATAGCAGTCTTAAAACTTAGGCAAAATAGATTAGTAAATGTAAGCCCCTAACTTTGGTCTCAAGCTATGACATTTATTTCCAGAGACCAAGGTTTTGGAAAATTGATTGTTCAGCTGAGTTCATAGACTTTTTCTCATTTAACTTCAAGGAAGATAATTTGGTTATGAGACAATGTGAGCTACTTAAATTGATGTCACCTCAGAAACTGATCCTTGTATACTAAGAACATGGTCTTTGAATCTTGTACTACCTTTTGCCAAAGAACTTAATTTAAAGTTTTAACAATCAGTAATTTCTTGATATAAATTGTTGTTTTTGATGCTAATTCAAATATATAAATTTTTTTTTATTCGTAAAGCCCAGTGGCATGAACTAGATGCCTTTTAGTGATCATATGAATCCATAGTTCTTTTAGTCAAAACGTATTATTATTTTCATATTTTTATTATATTTAAAAGTGGGTAGAATTATCTGGGTAGGATAATTTAGTACCATTTTTGTACTATTTAGTACCATTCATTTCCCCAACCTTATCATTTTAAAATTTCAAACATAATAAAAGAATAATCTGATAGGTGAAATTTTTTCTGGCTGAATCATTTGAAACTTGAAGACATCCTTTCACTTCTTCCCTAAACACTTCAGCATGTTTCCCCTAAGAATAAAGACATTTCAGATTCTAGGAGCCCTGGTGCCACAGGGGCCAAATATTGGCTGCTAACCAAAAGGTCAATAATTCAAAACTCTTTAACTGACCTTCAGAGTAAAGACGTGGAGATGTGCTCCCTTAAATGTTTCAACCTAGAAAGCATTATGGAGCCATTCTATTCTGTTCTGTAGCCACGGTAAGCCACAGTCAAGTCAACAGCAAGCAACAACCAGCCAAACCAAATTCAACTGCCATCAGGTTGATTCTCACTCAGAGGATAGAGTAGAACTGTTCCTGTGGGTTTCCGAGGCTGTAAATCTTTTATAGAAGCAGAAAGCTTTAGCTTTCTACTTTTGAGCGTGTGGTAATTTTGAACTGCTTATGTTGTAGTTAATAGCCCAATACATAACTACCATGCTACCAGGGCTCCCAAATAACAACAGTACGATCTAATTTTCACACTCAGTAAATTAAAACAATAAGATTATCTAATGTGCTGTCTATATTTGTCTTTCCCCCGTTGCCTCCATTATCCCTTTTATGACTACCACCACTACATTGTAGAGTAGAGTATTATCTGCCTCTTGCCTTTAAGATTAAGAAATAGAAAACTACCAGTGTCCTGGATACCTTTCCTAGAAGTCTTCCTAATGTCCCTTCTCTATCTCTGCATTCTTCGAGAGCATACCAAACTTACCACCCTCTTTTCAGAGGGGAGAAAAAAAATTATTCAGCGCCTCCCTTACAGTTATAAGTTTTTGTAATACAGCCCATAATCCAGGATAAAGTGTAGGTGCCTGCTTTTCCAGACACCCCTGGATCACGCTGTCACTCCCCAGAGAGGGCAGTATTGTCCACCCACTTTGGGAACACAGGGGAACCACACTTCTGAATATAGCACCTCTGATTATTTGGCTTGTTGATTTTTTTTAAATCTTTTTATTGGGGGCTCGTACAACTCTTATCACAAACCATACATCCATCCATATGTCGAGCATATTTGTACATTTGTTGCCATCATCATTCTCAAAGCATTTTCTTTCTACTTGAGCCCTTGGTATCAGCTAATTTTTCCACTCCCTCCCCGCCCTCCCAATGAACCCTTGATAATTTATAAATTCTTATTTTGTCATGTCTTACACTGTCGGATGTCTCCCTTCACCCACTTTTTTGTTGTCTGTCCCCCAGGGAGGTGTTATATGTAGATCCTTGTGATCCCTTCCCCCTTTCTACCCCATCTTCCCCTTAACTTACCTTCCTGGTATCGCTACTTTCATTATTGGTCCTGAGGGGTTTATCTGTCCTGGATTCCCTGTGTTTCCAGTTCCTATCTGTACCAGTGTACATCCTTTGGTCTAGCCAGATTTGTATGGTAGAATTGGGATCATGATAGTTGGAGGGGGGGCGCGGGGGCCGCATTAAAGAACTAGAGGAAAGTTGCTATACTTCACCCTGACTGGCTCGTCTCCTCCCTGCAACCATTCTGTAAGGGGATGTCCAGATGCCTACAGATGGGTTTTGAGTCCCCAGTCCGCACTCCCCCCTCATTCACAATGATATGAATTTTTTTGGTCTTTGATACCTTATACCTGATCCCATCACCACCTCGTGATCACACAGGCTGGTGTGCTTCTTCCATGTGGGCTTTGTTGCTTCTGAGCTAGATGGCTGCTTGTTTATCTTCAAGCCTTTAAGACCCCAGATGCTATATCTTTTGATAGCCTGGCACCATCAGCTTTCTTCACCACATTTACTTATGCCCCCTCTTTGTCTTCACCAATCGTGTCAGGAAGGTGAGCATCATAGAATGCCAGTTTAATAGAACAAAGTGTTCTTGCATTGAGGGCGTACTTGAGTAGAGGCCCAATGTCCGTCTGTTACCTTAATACTAAACCTATAAATATATGCATATAGATCTATTTCCCAATCATCATATATAAATATATTTATATTTGTACATGCCTGTATTTAGACCTCTGTAAATGCCCTTGGCCTCCTGGTTCTTTCCTGTATTTCCTTTTACTTTCCTCTTGTTCCACTATCATGCTCAGCCTTCATTTGGGTTTCAGTAATTCCTCTGGGTTACATTGCCCCTGACCAGCGCTACCAAGCCTCCTACACCCTCCTGGCCATCAATTTTGGATCACATATTGTTCCATTGTCCCTGGGTTTGTTAACACACATTTCTTTCCCCCCTTCTCCCATGTCCTGCTCCCCAACCGCTATCACTGGAACTGTTGGTCCTGTTGTTTTCTCCTCCAGATTGTTTATCCCGCCTATCTTATCTAGATAGACCCGCAGAGATAATAATGTGTACAAAAACAAGACAGAGCAAAGCAAAGCTACAAAAGACAACAATAATAAAACCAAGGACCAAAAAAAATAAAAACCTATAAATAGCTCAAGGTCTGTTTGTTGACCTTCAAGAGCGTTTCCCAGTCGAGTCTGATGGGGTGCCATGCCCTGGCCCCAAAGTCTATTTTTGGTATTCCCTGGGGACTTAGTTGCCCTTGTTCTGTTGCACACCCTTAGTGTTTCACCTCAGTGTGGTGGGGTCAAATTGGACGCAATTCCCTCACTGTGTCTCCAGCCCACTTTGTTTTTTCTTCACCTATGTTAGCAAATTGTTGTCCTTTCATGTCCATCTTCATTTGTGAAAAGAAAAAGAAATCGCTCAGAGTGAGGTCAGTTTAGTTGGGTATGTGGGGCAAGAGAGGCATACTGTTTTTTTTGCCCAAAAGTGGCACACTGAGATGGCTGAGTGAGCTGGTGCTCATTACCACGGTGGCAAAGCCATTTCCCTTCTACCAAAAATCAGGCCTTTTTTGTCACACAGTTAGGCAGCCTTTTCAGAACCTCTAAATAGAACGCTTTTTTAACAGTCTGAACTGGTGGAACGACTATGAGTCAACGTTTTTGTCCTTTCGGGAAGTTGACTGATGTCCAGAATGAGGCTTGCCATCCATGGACATTTCACCTTTTTTAAAACAAGAAAACCACTCGTGCACTTGAGTTTTTCCATAGCACTATCATTGTAAGCTGTGTTCAACATCACAAGTTTCTGGCGCATTTGCCCAAGCAGGATATAAAATCTCACAGCCACATGCTGTTCTCTTAAATCTACCATCATAAAAACAAAGTTCGAGTGAAACTGCTTTTATGAAAAAATTCACTGTGACCAGAGAGAACCTTCCCAGGTGATGCCACTGAGTGCACTAACTCAGAGTTGCTTGATGCTCGCCTAGCTGGAAAAATGCGTATACCACGAAAGCTCTGCTCTGACCACTGCAATTCCAGTTTTGTTTGGATAACTCCTTGTACACATACTGAACATATTGTATACATTTCTTTTGGGCATATATCTGGGAATGGGGATTTCTGGGTTATAGATAATTGGCATTTTTTCCATAGTAGTTATACCAGTTGATAACTGTTCTCAGCAGTGGATCACTTTTTCCTTTTTTATTTGTAACGTAATTCTTATTACTCTTTCTATACACTTTGCCCCAAGTTTGGTTAGTAAATCGCATTCATGCTAGCCTCTCTGACCTTTTAAGTACAGTACTTTCTTGATCTCTGACAGCTAAATTTGTTCAGCTAAATTTTAAACATAAACTGTGTAACCCAAATACATAGCAGAGAAAGTACCATTTTAAAAATTTGAGACATAATTCATGTAACAAAATCACTTTTAAAAAACGTACAGTTCTGTGTGTTTTACTTATTCACAGGGTTATTTAACCTGTTAGCACCGTCTAATTAGTGTTACGTTTTTTCTATTTGTCTTTGTCTTTTAGTTAAAAATGCCATACAAATTTTCCATGCTACTCACTTTAGAACTATTAGTTTTTAATTGATCAATTTATTACAGTTGGAAATCAGAAATGTATCTTGATATAATTAGTAGCATCTTCCAATGCCTTTAAGTTTTTGGCTTTTGTTATTAACAATTTTGTGCCATGTTGGTACTTTAGATTAAAGCATTTGTAAGTTACTCGTGTATATATTTTTTGGAAACATATGCATCTTTTCAAATCCCTGTCAGATCTTTCAGATTCTCCCTAAAAAGCATCTAAAGGTAAGTAAGTAGGAGAGAACGTATGTAGGATGTGACCCCCCTGCGTCATTGGTCTCTTGGCACCAGGAGCCTGGCGGTCAAGAGCCTTACTGTGTTTCCAGGAGCCTTTCCCTATTAGTGTCTGAATTCCCCAGTTGTTTTAGTTAGATAAATCTAAGTGTGTTTGATATTTAATAGGCTGTGTCTCAGTTCTTCTTCTTCTTATTTTCTTTTTAACTATAGACTGACTAAAAAGCTTGAAGAAAGGAGAGAAGAAAAGAGGAAAGAGGAAGAGCAGGTAAGATTCGTGCACTACTTCACCCATCTCTCAATGAAGAGGAGACAGGATGGTTCTATGGTGATACTTCAGTGTTACAGTGTTGTGAAGGGCGTTTTTGAACTTTTTATTATCTTCCCATTACATACTTTTTTTGTTCTTTTTAAAAATTGCTAGGAATCAATTGGATCATCTTTTTCTTTGCAAGGGGTCTTTCCTACCAATTATAGAGAGACTTGAGCTAAACTTAATGGTTTGTGACAGAAGATAAAATTTCATGTTCCTGAAGTAAAAGGAAATCGAGGAAAGAACGAGCAAGTGATGGCAACAAATGCACAAATGTGCTTAACATCATGGTTGGATGTATGGATTGTGACGAGTTGTACAAGCCCCCAATAAAATGATTTAAAAGAGAAAAAAAAAAAAGAAATCTCATGTTCCTGTTTGCCAAAAAGAAATGTATAATTCCTCTCACTCTGCACATCCAAGTAGCATTGTCACTAGGACTCTAGTATAGGAAGATCATCTTTTCTTCAAGTCAAGTAATTGGCTGCCATGTTGCCCATGGAGGATAAAAGTAATAATACAAGTCTTAAAATCTAAGACTTGTACTTCTTCTTCCAACATATATTGACCACATTATAATCTTAACACAATCCTTGACAAAGGTGTCACAAATGGCAGACTTTTGACTGTTAACCATGGTTTAATAGATTCTCTTGCGTTTTAAGTTTTATTCCTTTACCTGCACCATAAATATCCCACTTGCCCTACATTTAAAATCATACCAAGGGCAGACTATCAAACTATTTGAATAACTCTTAAAACATTTTTCATCTTTAATTCAGAGAGAGATTAAGAAGGAAATTGAGAGGCGAAAAACCGGAAAAGAAATGTTGGACTATAAAAGAAAACAAGAAGAAGAATTAACAAAGAGGATGTTAGAGGAAAGAAACCGAGAAAAAGCAGAAGATAGAGCAGCGAGAGAGCGTATAAAACAGCAGATTGCACTGGTAAGTGTTTTCATTTTAATGCTTGACCTCAGGACATTTGTGAAACTTTTTTATACACATTGACTGTGACAGCATGCAAAAATAATTCAGTTTCATGACATGAACAGTACCGATTTTCAGCTTCCTTTCATTAGAAAGTGCTTCTCCAATTAAGACTTAGTTTTGGAAAGCAAACTATGAATTAGTCACCTAGTAATCTTTAGTCACAAGCAGTCTTTTTTGGGGGGACAAAAGATTTAGGCACATCATAAAAGTTTAAAATGATTTGATAATATTTGCTTTTAGAATTAAATAATATGCTACATATGAAAAACATGCCTGCCTTAGTGTAGTGTCTGTTCATTTAATGAATACTTAAGGAGCATCTTTTTTTTTTAATCAATTTATTGGGGCTAATGAGCATCTATTATGTGCCTGACATCTGATCTGGAGATACACTGAGCAAAATAAAGACCTTGTTTATAATAACTTCAGATCCCTGGCATTAGATAAAAATGAGTAGATCTAGAATTCTATAATTCATATATGAGTCTCAAGGAATTTCTTACATATTTGTTTTCCTCTCTAGCTTGGGTTAGGAAATATGTGAATGTATCATTCTGGCAGTGAAAGATAATAAGCATCTCACCATTGTTTTAAAGGACCGTGCAGAACGAGCTGCTCGTTTTGCAAAGACAAAAGAAGAAGTAGAAGCTGCCAAAGCAGCTGCTTTGCTGGCCAAACAGGCAGAAATGGAAGTCAAGAGGGAATCTTACGCAAGAGAAAGAAGGTACAATTTGCCAAAACATCTTTGTTCTCATCTGGGCTGAGGAGGTTTTTAACATCCATATATGTATGTTATAATTTATCAATTCCAGAAGGACATATTAAACAGTTTGGAAGCTATTAGTGTTGTTTTCAATGAATGTGAATTTATAACAGTAGTAAAAAATATAGGGGGCCCAAACCTTTTATTTTTAAGAAATAGAACCTATATGCAGAAAACTTACTGTAATGATTATCTCATGTTTACTAAGATTCTTTAGTTGCAAGTGTCAGGATCTCAAGTCAAATAGTATTTGGGAAATTTCAATGGCATATTGCACTTATGTATTCTTTCTTTTGCTTAATACTATCCCAATCTGCAATTGGAAAATCCAGTGGTGCATTTCGTTAGACATTTCTGGGTTCATGGGTCTAAAGGATGACATTAGGACCTTTTCTCCTGTTTCTCTCTTTCTTTAAGTCATTTTATTGGGGGCTCATTCAATGCTTATCACTATCCATACATCCATCCATTGTGTCAAGCACATTTGTACATTTGTTGCCATCATCATTCTCAAAACATTTGCTTTCTACTTCGTTTTATCTTTTAACTTGCTTCTTTGTCAGGAAAAGTATACAAATAATCCAGGGGAGCCCAGTGTTTCCTAGTATCTTTAGGATCTTGAGCTTATGATCCAAGAGAACAAATTTATCCTGTATCCCTCTATAAAGTCCAAAGTAGAGTCATTAAATAAACTTATGATTGACCCAGCTTGAGTTGTGTGACCACCTCTAGTCCAACAACTGCCCATTTGTATAGACTCTGAGTTTGGGTAGGTGTCACAGAACCCTTGCGATGAAGGAGGTGAGGGAAATGTGATTACTGAACATATTAAGAATGTCTGACATAAAGCATGGGAAAGGCTATTGCCAAAACAAAATTAAGTTGAACAGACAAAATTCAGATTTCCAGTATATCCTGCTAGTTAGGGTAGGTTAATATTTTCCTTTTTTGTACTTGGTATTTTTTAAAAAAATGGTTTTGTTGGCATGTAATTCACCTGCCCTAAATTCAATAGTTTAAGCATGTTAAGAAGTGTTGTGCAATCATCACCACAATCAATTTTAGAATATTTTCTTCTTTCTAGTGCTCTCATTATTAGCTCCCCATTTCCCCACAACGTTCTCTGCCATATTCCCAGAAACCATTAATCCAGTTATTGTCTCTTTAGATTTACCTGTCCTGGGTTTCAAATACAGAAAAACAATAAAAAGAAAAAGAAAAACAATCAACTAACAAAAATATAAGCATTATGCCTATAAATAAGAAAATAACTTAAAAAATGCTTTTCCAAAAAGAATAAGATACTTAGGAACAAATTTAACTGCAGAGTGTACCTGTAAGAACTGTAAGACATTGGAAGAGCACCTAAAAATACTGGATTGTAGATAAGTGAATTATCAGCCAATAAAACTGTTGGAGGAAAAAAAAAAAAGAACACTGAGAAGAAATCCCATGTTCATAGGTCAGAAGACATAAAATTGTTGATGGGAATAAATGCTCTCTCAACTCTGATGTAGGTTGAATTCAATCTGTCTATCAAAGTCTCAGTTGGCAGCTATTTTGTGGAAATGGACAGTCAGATTTTAAAACTCACCTGGAAATATTGGATTAGCAAAAACAATTTTAAAAATGACCAACATACTTGGAGGAATCACACTTTCCAATTTCAAAATTACAGTAGCCAAGATGCTGTGAATAGACATAATACAGATCAATAGGCTTAACATTGATTGCTTAGGAATAATTTTTTTAACCCAAAACTCTGTGGAGGAAAATTAGTCTTTTCAACAAATTGTGCTCAGACAAGCAAAAGAATAAATTTGGACTTCTTATATGACATGTAATTATTTACATATCATAAATGCATAGCACTTACAGAAATATTAGACTGATAATATAAAAAAATCTGAGGCCTAAAATGATCGTGAGCATTAACTGCTGCCTTCCAACCCCTAGCAAGATTGACTGGTGGAGCGAGCCATTCAATAAGTGGTGATAATGCCCTTCCTCCAAAATCACTACCTACTACCAAGGTTAGATTCCAAAATTGAGGTCATAAGCAAACATCCATATTATGCACAAATGGGGGATAACTACATCAGGTCACAAGACATAGGACAACTACATAGTTATACAACTGCCTAATTATATCATTAATTTTCAAATTGCATCATTATGTAATTGACCAAACACTGGCAATCATAGCCCAGTCAAGTTGCCATATAACCTTAACCATCACAGCTAGTATGACTCTCTTCTTGCACCGCAGCATTTCTTCCTATCAGATGAATGTACTTACTGTGAAAAATAAGCAGATAGCTTTTTTTAGTGAGGTTTTTATCTGTTTTACATTGTTATTCTTGTTAGTTTTTTTTTCTGTTGTTTGTTTTTTAATGTTTTTCTGTATATGAAATCCAGGATAGGTACATTTATAGACAAAGTATCTGGTTTAATGGTTCCTTGAGAGTATGGCGGGGGAGGTTGGGGGGAAAATGAGTTGCTAATAACGAGGAGTATAAGATTGAAAGAAATGTTCTAAAACTGATTGTGGTGATGATTGTACAGTTCTTGATGTGATTGAAATACTGGATTGTGTGACATGTGAATTATATGCCATTAAAACTGCTGGAAAAAACAAAAAAAATAACTCAAAATAGGTTAAGTGTTTAACTATAAGTATGAAGCTCTTAGAAGAAAACAAAGGAGCAATTCTTTGCAATTTTGTAGTAAGCAGTGTTGTTTTAGAACATCACAAGCATGAGTAGCAAAAGAAAAGATAGATAAATTAGACTTCAAAATTAAAAACGCTTGTGCCTCAAAGGACACCATTAGGAAAATGAAAATGCAAACCACAGAATTGGGAAGAATACAGATATGTCTCCAATAAGGGACTTGTTCCTAGAATAAATAAAGAACTCTTAGATCCCAAACCTATCTGTAGATAATGGGACATCCTCTCGCAGAGGGTTCACAAGGAAGGGATGAGTCAACTAGAGCACATTATAGCATTGATGAAACAGAATATTACTCTGATTCCTTGAGGCTTCCTCACCCTCATGACCCCATACTTACCTTTCAGTTCTGGCTAGACCGGGAGTATGTATACTGGTACAGATAAGAGCTTACCACACACACACACACACACACACACCCCACCCTCACTCCTACCCACACCGGGAATATGTATACTGGTACAGATAAGAGCTACTCACACACACACACACCACCACCACCACCCCTCACACCCACCCCCCCGGGAACAGAGATGTGAGTAGCGATACCAGGAGGGTAGAAGGAAGGTGGGGAGAGAAGAGGAGGAAGGGAGAACCGATTGCAATGATCAGTGCAAAACCACACCGCCTCCCCAGCAGAGGGAAGGACAACAGAAATCCTGGGGGAAGGGAGACAATGGTCAGTGTAAAATATTAAAATAATAATAATTTATAATTTATCAAAGGGTCACCGGTTGGGGGAAGGAAAAAAGGAGCTGTTACCAAGAGCTCAAATAGAAAGTAAATGTTTTTAAAATAATGATGGCAACATACTGGTATGTACGAATATGCTTGATAAAATTGATGTATGGATTGTTATAAGAGCTGTAAGAGCCCCCAAGAAAATTACCTTAAGAAAAACAAAACTCATAACTCAATAATAAACCAAACACCAGTTTAAAATAGGCAAAGGCTAAGAATAAACATTTCTTCATAGAAGACATGCAAGTGACCTATGAGTACATGAAAAAATGCCAAACATCATTAGTCATTAGAGAAACGCCTATTACTTTAAAGTCACTTTACACCAGTATGATAAGTAAAGTAAAAAACATAATAAACATTTCTGAGGTTGTGGACAAATTAGAACCTTATGCATTATAGGTGGGATTATATAATGACCCACTTCAAAATTTGACAGTTCCTCAAAATGTCAAACTGTATTTCCCAGCAATTCTACTCTCTGGTACATAGTCACGAGAATTGAAAATGTATCCACACAAAAATGGTTTGGGAGTGTTCATAGCAACATTTTTCGTAATTCCTAGAAACTATTAAGAATGACAATGTCCATTTGTTGATGAATGGATAAACAAAAATTGGTATAGTTCATACGGTCGAATGTTATTTGGCAGTAAAAGGAAGTGCATGTTATAATATGGATGAACCTTGAAAACATGCTTAATTAAAAAAGGCTACACGTACTTTGTATGACCCCTTTTGTAGGCAAAGTCCAGAATAGAGCATTGCTTAGATGCTGAAGGTAGACTAGTGGTTCCCAGTGGCTTGGGAGACATGGGGGAACGGATGAGAGCTAATGAGTATTTTTGGAATGAGGAAAATATTCAGGAGTTAGTGATGGTGGTGGTTCAACTCTGAATATACTGAAAACCGCACCCTTGTACAATAAGGGTAGGGTGAAATTTATGATATGTTATTTAGGGCTCAATAAAGAATAACAAAAGACCTGAGAGAGAAAAAAACCTGGTTTTGCACATTTCTACTTCCTGTTTTCTCTAATATTTAATCATAGTCTCTGACAATAAATACATATCGGTGCAGATTCTGATTTGAACTTTGTGTTTTCATAGTGCTATTGCTAGAATTCAATTCCGTCTTCCGGATGGTTCTTCCTTTACAAATCAGTTCCCTTCTGATGCTCCGCTAGAGGAAGCGAGACAGTTTGCTGCACAGGTAAACTTAGGTCTTGAGTTACATATTAAAGATAGATATGTAGATTATTAAGCTGTAGGAGGGGGAAATTTCAAGACAGAATTTGAAGAATGTGAATAAATCAGGACTTATTCCCAGGAGGGAAGGACAAGACATCTTTGAGGTGTTGTGTGCATCTATGCACAAAAAAACTCATGGAAAATGGAACTGAAAGATGAACTTTTTGAAGCCCTCTCATATATGAATAACAGTAAAAATCACTAGAAACAAATGTAGTTAAGCCTTTCTTTGTAATCTTTGTAATCTTTTCAGTAAGTCAGAATTGTGCAAGTGAAGGTAATGCCTGCCCAATGTATGTAGGTTCCTGGAATTGGGATTATGTTTATGGTACAGTTGACAGTGGACCAATTTATGCCTTGAGATAAGATTAAAACAATTGAAGTAAGTTACATATATGAAGAGAATAAAGGTGTATTGTAAATTTTTAAATGTAATTATAACGCAAATATTGAGATAGATTCACCAAATGATAGTAAAAGCCCTAATGACTGAACTGCAGCCATATATTTAAAGAGATTTATATAGATGTATAAATGTTTATATGGGTTGTTGTTTTTTTTTGTTTTTTCAATTTATTTAGATTTTTTATTCAATTTTAGGAATTCTTGTTATTTACATTGTGGTCATTGTTGAGTTATAAAAGTTTTGAGAAAAATAATTGGACTTTGATAGCTTTTCAACATACATTTTTTTTTTTGAGACAACATTTTGAAGCATAAAATGCTTTTGAATTTTGAATGTACATTTCTGTGAACTTTAAAATTAAGATAATTTTATTAAAACAGTCATTTGGAGTCATATGAATAATGTAACATTTTAAAAAGCCATCACTGTAAGATTTAACATTTTTTTGTTATGTTACATTACAGACTGTTGGCAACACTTACGGTAATTTTTCATTAGCAACCATGTTCCCCAGGAGAGAATTTACCAAAGAAGATTATAAAAAGAAATTGCTGGATTTGGAACTTGCCCCAAGTGCTTCAGTGGTGCTGTTGCCAGTATGTATATGCATGTATAGTTTTGGAGTCCTGTTCTATTCTTGAGTATTTCTTGTAATTGTGGAAGGGAAAAACAAAGGGATTGTTCACATAAACATAGTTTAAATTTTTTTAAAAAGTTGTGTTTTTTTTATATATATAGGATTTTATTTTGCACGGGTATAACAATTCCATTATAGGTCACGGAGGGGGAAAAAAAAACCCCAAAGGATAAAACCACCACAATGAGTAATTTACTAGTTTTTCTACTTTTTAACAGGATTTCCCCTCTGGTAGACTTATTATCATGTATCCTTCAAAAAAGACAAGATGCTTATTATATTTTAAAGATTACAGGTTGTCACCGAAAGAAAAATTTTACACAGTCACTGTACATTAGGGTTGGAAAACTGTCCTGTATTTATAAAAAAAAAGCATTTAGAAATCAGGTGAATGAAAGAAAAAGAAAACATTATTATCTGAAAGTGGATGTTCATTCTTCTTGGAGTTGCTTACATGTAGGAATTCCTTGCCTCTGTCCTTTTTACTCAACAATTTTCGTTAAGGCAAACAAATCCTTTTCCAAGAGGTCTTGAGGAAATTATGGACAAATAGCAAACTTTTGGCATTAAAACAGGTCAACACATCCATACCCTTTAGTAATATACATTAAGCATATTTTTCTTGGACTAGTGACAATAAAAGGTGAACATGCTCATTAACAATGTCAGAATGTTTAAAATTCAGCGTCCAAGCAATTCCTAACAATGCTTCGGTAGCTTTAAGCTCTAAACAGTGTAGAATTTATGCAAATGCATTAAAGAATTGAAGCTTGGCAAATTATACCCAAGCAGGTTATTAAACTATATATACAGAAAGTAAATGATAAATACAGAATTAAGAGTCCTTCTGCTTTTCCTTATAGCCTTGAAAATTGACAAAATTTTGAGGACAGTTCTGTAATATTAAACATTAGGTAACCACAGGTTCTGGGAAACCTAACTACACAAACTGATTTCAAATACTCACGATGACTTTGTAGTGTTTAATACAATTCAGTTTGTAGTCAAGGGCACGAGACAACATTTAACAAAAATAATCACATCAGTTGACCTAGAAATCAAATGTAAATAGATATGAATGCAATCTCCAAAATTTGTCTCTTTTAGTGAACATCAACCATTTATTCAAAGTTATACAAGAATTTGAAAGATTAAAGTCTTCTGTGACACAAAGCCATTTCCAATAGTTTCATGTCTCAGCTGAGCAGGAGGATAAAGGGTGAAAGAACAAGTGAGGAGGCCCCATGCAGGCAGTTAAGACAGTAAAATCAGACTCAGCAGCAGCCTCCTTCTGCCTGCTGTCCTCCCTGACTGCCTGCATGTGTTGCATTAGTAGCAGCATGCTGAGGGCCAATCTTAATGCCATTTGCCTCATTATTAATGTCAAATACTCCTTGAATTTTTTCATAATTTTATTTTGCTGTATTAATAAATGCCTCTTCCACATTGGAAGCAGTCTTAGCAGAAGTTTCCATGAAGATAAGTCCATGTTCTCTTGCAAAAGCTTCACCTTCTTCTTTTTTAACTTCTCTTCTAGATTCTAAATCACTTTTATTTCCAATAAGCATAATGACCATGTTGGAATTAGAATGCTGGCAGGCATCTTCTAACCAGGTGGTCAAATGGTTGAATGTATCTCTCCTTGTAATATCATATACTTGTAAAGCACCTGCTGCTTCTCTGTAATATGACCTTGTGATGGAGCGAAAGGACTCTTGTCCTGCCATATCCCATATCTGAAGTTTTATCTGTTTTCTATCGATCGTTATCATTCGAGCACCAAACTCTACACCAATAGTAAGGTCATGCACAGGCTGAAACCTCTTGTCTGTAAACTGTAGCAATAAGCACGATTTGCCAACACCTGTGTCACCAATGATGATGTACTTGAAGAGATAGGCGTACGCCATGGCCGCGGCTGCTCGGTGCCAGGGCACACGGCTCCTCCAAAAGTTTTTCTAATATCACGTGCTTTATACGAGGGGGTACCAAAACACAAAACAAAATCGGAAAAAAGCTCTGCTGGTGGGAGCTTTCGTAGTATGCATTTGTCCCTCTAGGCAAGCATCTTGCATAGCATCTTGCTTTCAGTTAGTTACCCACTAGTGTCACCTGGGAAGGTTCTCTCTGGTCACAGTGAGTTTTTTCATAGAAGCAGTATTGCTCGAACCTAGTTTTATTGTGGTGGCAAGTTTAAGAGAATAGTGTGCGTTTGTGCAATTTTGTTGCCTGCTATGGTAAAATGCCACAGAAACTGTTGTGATATTGAACACAGCTTCTAAGGACAATGCTATGGGAAAAACGCAAGTGTACACATGTTTTTCTCACTTCAAAAAAGGTGAAATGTCCATGAATGACAAACCTCATTCTGGATGTTCATCAACTTCCTGAACGGATGAAATTGTTGACTCATAGTGCATTTGAAGTTCATTCACCAGGTCAGACTGTTAATCAAACTTTCTATTTAGAGATTGTGAAAAGATTGCATAACAGTGTGTGACAAAAAAGGCCTGATTTGTGGCAGATGGGGGACAGGTTTTGCCACCATGACAATGCACCTGCTCACTCAGCCATCTCATTATACCAGTTTTTTTGGCAAAAATAGCATGCCTCTTTTGCCCACGCATCCGACTCACCTGACCTTGCTCCATGAAACTTCTTTTTGTTTCTGCAAATAAAGGATGGACATGAAAGGGCAGAAGTTTGACAATAGGTGGGAGAAAAAAAAGATGTAAGGTGCTGTTAGTCATCCAACCAGATGAGTTTGAAAAATGTTTCCAAGAATGGAATCACAGATTTGTCAGATATATTAAGTGTGATGGAGAATACATTGAAGGTGATAGGTTGTTTTGTGAGAAAATTTAAATAAGTTTTCGGGATAAAATTCCGCTTTTATGGTGGGGGGGGGCACCTCATATATTTGTGTCGCTAGTGTTATTTGTAAGACATTGGATAAATAGTTTAACTCTTTTTAAAAAAAAACAGTTTAAGTTTCATCTTGTTCCTCTTACCTATATATTTTATATATACCCATATCTCACCCAAAATCCAGGTCATTATGTAAAATCCATGTTATGTGAATGAGGGCCCACACTGGCTTTGGTGCCCAGGTGTGTGTGTCTCTAAAGTTGCTCACTAATCATCTATCTGGTGCACGTCTCAGAACAGATATGATGCAGCTGGACGCTTTCCTTGCTACATCCTTCCTACCACCTTAAAACCTATAGGGGTTGGGACTGGTCTGCTTCCCACTGCCCCACCCTAGATGATGACCTCACTTACCTTCCATCTGTCCTGACCTTGTGCTGCTTCCTTTCTCCACCTGCTCCCCCCACTGCCTAGCCTCCTCCTTACAACCTACAACCCCACTGTTGCCCCATGCCCTCCTATGCCCAATCAAGACAGTGAGAACAAATGAGAAGAGGCAGGCACCTCATGACCAATCAGCTGCCATTCCTCATGTGACCTGAGTGCCACCAGGGCATATAGTACTTATTTGGGGTGGCCCATGGAGAATACCCCAGGCCCGACCACAGATCTACATGGGGCATGGACCATTGGAGACATCACCGGAGAATTTTAAGTTTTGCATGTGGGTTGTAAGGCAATGAGAATGTTGATAATTGAGGAGTGTTTGTACGGAAAATGAGCAGCAGGAAAGAATATAGAGTATTTGTGTAATAATCCATGACTGAGTTATTTTTTATTGATGTAGGGCTGTATTATTTACTAGGAACTCTGTTGGTGTAGTGGTTATGCATTTGGGCTACTTAGTTCAGGGTTAGTAGTTGAAACCACCAGCTGCTCCCTGGGAGAAATACAAGGCTTTCTGCTTCTTTAGAGTTCCAGTGTCGGAATCCCCCGGGGGCAGTTCTGCCCTGTCATATAGAGTCACTGTGAGTCAGAATCTGTGGCAGTGAGTTTGAGTTTCTTGTGTTTCCCAAGCTTTTTTGTTTTTAGATGCTTTTTTCTCCTTCGGTTTTTAAAATTGTGGTTACTAAAAACAAAACTTTCCATTTTAATCATTTACATATGATATTGTAAGAGACATATAACAAAGCATATACATTTTTACCTGTTTTTGTATATAATTCAATGACATTGATTATATCTAGAATGTTGTGTAACTGTCACCACTATTTGTGTCCAGAACTTTTCATCACCTGAAACAGAAGCTTTTTATGATTAAGCCCATTTCCCTCTCTTCCTAGTCCACGACTCTGCTCTTAACTTAGTAGACAGGTCATAGAAGCAGGGTTATGTGACTTTTTATGTCTGGCATGTTTCACAGAGCAAATGTTCAGCTGTTTTATATTTGTTATGGCTGAATAATATTCAGATAGAATTTAGGATGCTTCCACCTTTTGGTTATTGAGAATAATGCTGCTATGAACATTAACCAGTTTAAAAACTGTAACACACCAGTGATGATACTGTCTAAAACACATTATCCTATTTAATTCTCACAATGATGTTTTAATCTCTGATAAAGGGCAGGTGGCTCAGAAAGCTTAAATGATTTTTCCAAGGTCCCAACTTAAGTGCCAGCACAGATTTGAGAGCCCCGTCATGCACTGTGTTCCATCATGCACTGTGTTAGTCTGGGTAGACTAGAGAAACAAATTCATAACATGCATATGTATAAGAAAGAGTTTTATATACAAGAGCAATTAAACATTGAGAAAACAGCCCAGCCCAGTCCAGATTAAGTCCATAAATCCTATATTAGCCCATATGTCCGATATCAATCTACAAAGTCCACTTCAATCTCACGAAACACATGTAATGACGCCGAATGTAGAAGATCACAGGCCAGGGGTAGAAAGTCTTTGGATCCAGTGTCATTGGAAACATCTCAGTGCTGGCAGGGGTCTCTGCATCAGGTGGGTCCATGTGTCTTGTCAGCTGCTATGTCTCCCAGGGTGTGAACAGAGAGTCTCCCACCTCCAAGAAGGAAATATCAGATTTCCCAGAATTCTAAGGAGAAGGTCATGCCCACACAGAAGCTTCATTGGCTGTGATCTGATTGACAGACTAGACTCCACCCCTTGATTCATAATCCTCTCAAATTGACAATTATAAAACTACCACATGCACATTCTGTTCAGTGTAGTTTTCTGTACTGTAAACTGAAACCTCACACTTAAAACAGAATTTAATGTAGTCACTAAGGTTTGAACCCTTTCCCTTTTTAATTAAACTCTTATCAGAGTTGTTAATTATATTACAAATGTATCATTTTCTTCAAATAGTGGTCATATTTCTTGAGTGAGAACTAATGATAGATTTACTTAGAACCTTGGCTATAATGTGATTGGGCTGGGATAGTCAGTCTTTATCTCCTGTTTCTTACCTTGTAGGCAGGAAGACCAGCTACATCCATGGTACACTCTTCTGGTGGAGACATTTGGACATGGTTGGGAACTGTACTCTACCCATTCCTTGCCATCTGGAGATTGATTAGCAACTTCCTGTTTAGTAGCCCTCCTCCTGCACGGACATCTCTGAGCACAGCAGCGTCAGAGCCCTTAAACTCGGCATCTTCTAGCAACTCAGAAAAAAGGTATTTGTTTGTGTTTCTCCCATATGCAAATAATTAGTGCCCAATATCACAAAGGCTCAAAATGAAACTTTTGTTATGGCTATTTTGCTTTCTTTCCTTATATATCTTCCCTAATTCCTGCTTTGAAAAAAAGAAAACAACGTTCTGAAACTTTTTCGTAGCCTCTCTCCTGGGAATCTCACTAACCTGAAGCGTCTGAGTGCTCTAACAACTGCTCCATGGAAAGCCCTTTCTCTGCTATCAGTTTTGTTGTTTCAGTGATTAAACTCCCTTTATCTCGTTCGTGACTATAGAGGCAGATTTCCCCCCATCTAAAAGTAGCTCTTTCTCTCGTGCTTGCCGTGCTTTGCAGAGTAGCTACTGTGTTCCATGAATTATTCACAGTCATTCTTGCATAATTTCTGCAGAGGAACCATTGCATTCTAGATCATTTTAACTCTGGTGGCTCTTTGATACGCTGCTGACTGGTGGTCTTCTCTGGGCCATTTAGAGAAGGATCAAACTGAGGATCCTGGATGGTTATCAAAAATGGTACTACCTTCTGAGAGTGGTTTTGAACCAGTCCCATCGTTGAGAAGGCCCTTTTTTATTGCAGATGACAAAGATTAGGGTGGTACTATAGATGATGCTTTTCCCTTTTTTTAAAAAAGATTGTGCGTGTTTGAAAGAGATTAGCCCAAATTTTGAAGTGTTTTCCAGGAATGGGGAGATTATTTCCTCTTGTAATAATTAAATAATAGCAACATTTATTATAATATAGACCTATCACTATAAAATAGTCTTTTTGGCTTTTAATAAGTGTCGTACTCAGTCTTCATCCCCATCTGATATGATGAGTAATGAAATTGCCTATTTCTGCCTTGTCATCAGTGGGTCCCTAACCTTGTGTCTTAATCACCCTAAAGGAGGGTTTATTTATTGCAGTAGGACTGACTGACTTAGCCTCTTGCTTTTTTCTGTATGTGTTGCATAGGAAGACTGATTACATCTACACATATTAAATTCCTCAAGTGGGATTCATGGAAGTGCTTTCTAGTCTTAGAGGGAAACATTGGCTGCTAACTAAATGTCAGCCGTTGAAACCCACTCAGAGTTTCCAAGGGGAAAAAGCCCCTGGTGATCGGCTCCATAGAGTCTAGCTGGAGACCCTGGGACAGTCCTCTGTACCTAACAACCATCTTCAAGCAGCATTCAAACGAGATGTGGTTGCCCGTGAATTTTAGAACTATTGCTGGGCTATAGGAGGAAGCATTAATTTTCTATTTCAATAATACAGAATAACCTCTATGGTTTGAAAACCTTTTTTAAATAAAGGAAAAAATGTGGGATTGGGGCAAATGATGACTGTATGCTAAAGAAGGCGGTGGGGCTTTTGAATTACACTGTTGTTTTTCCATTTTTTCTATCTCCCCCTCTGATATTAAAGGATTCTATTATTGGCTTAAGTTTCACTATTATCTGTTCCCATTTTCAGATAAGGAAGTCCTGTTTGTTTTTCATTATTTACAAATAAGCCATTCTTAAATATTATGAAAGGAAAAAACTGGCTAATTGGCCATTTCTATCAATTAGGGTTTAAGTGGAGCTCTAGGGTGCTGGGTAAGTTATATATGTTTTAGTGGGCATGTCAGTGGCATAATAATAAAGGAGAGATGAGTTAGCAAATGGTGTCAGTCTTCTAAAGATTGGTAAGGCATCATACAGCACAGGGAAATGGACAGTGAGATTGGACTGCCTTGACTTAAAACACTGATGAAGTTAGTGCTGCCAAAGACTAGTACCGTCTAGAACTGTGTGCGTAGATAAAATTATTTCCATGGACTTTGCCGACTTTAACCCAAAACAAATGTGTTGATTCTTACTCATCACTCTGTAGGTCAGTCAGAGTAGAACTGCCCCCTATAGTTGCTAAGGTTGCAAACACCCCATCTTTCACTCTCAGTGTCTGATGGGTTCAAACCAACACTCGTTCAGTTAGTAGCTGAATGCTTTTTAACCACTGCACTCTCAGGACGCCTTGTCAGTCCTAAAGGGAGTGTGAAGGGGAAGGCTTTATATTCCTGCTGTTCTTATTTCATATACTCTGTCTTTCTGTTATTTCAGGGAACCAGTCAGAAAAAGAGTGCTGGAGAAACGTGGGGAAGACTTTAAAAAAGAGGGGAAGATATACAGATTGAGGGCTCAAGATGATGGCGAAGATGAAAACAATACTTGGAATGGAAATTCTACTCAACAGATGTAGTTCACCAAGTACAATATGTGCAATAATCATTGTTTCTCATATGATTTAATTCAACTAAAATTTTACTGGAGAATTGGGACGGCTTTATGCGTTCCAACTGCTCTGCAAAGTGTCTCTCTATTTCTACATAAGGGGTGGGTTAAAGTTGTTTAACTCAAAAAGTCAGAGTTAATGTTACTACTAGTCCTTGCATATGGTAATCGACTGCTGGAAGCCCAGTAGAATCAAAGTCTAATCATCTCCGTCCGCTTTCTAATTCAGTATTTCTTACCCACGAGCCCTATGCTTCCAGATGACAGGTGTGATTGTGAGCTGTTTTGTCCCAGAAGTCTTCAGGCTACACAAAGTAATTGGCCTATCTCGGAGAAATTCGACTCTGGAGTCAGAGCAGTTTCATGAGGAAATCAAATAGTACTTTGCTTAACTTTTCTCTCTGCTCATCAGCTGCGAGCAAAATCTTGTAGTTTTAATCTTAAACACTGAATAAAAAAATATTTTCTAAACATCAGAATGATCTAATATTTACTTAAATTTTTTATCGTAGCATTTCTATGTTCAAAGCTTTGCTGAGGTAATATGTTATTTTTTCTTTTTCCCCACCTTGGACAGTAACCCTGGAAGTATCTCAAAAATGTAGCTGGCTGCCTTACCATAAATATCACTGTAGGAGGAAGTTTTCTGGCATGCATTGATAGCAGTGTTTTTGCCATCATTTTGTTTGCAGAATGTTAAGGGCTTTGTTCTCATCAGGTGCAGAACTACTGCTAGCCCACCACCTCTTTCTCTCACCTCCACACTAACATTGCACCTTCAGAAGCCACTCTGCAATTACTTGAAAATACCCGTAGTTAAAAGCAAGAAGTGTAAAGATAGGCCTCTTATTTGTTAGATGAGGCTTAAAGATTTTAAAGATATTCTTACTATGATTTATATGCTACTTAACAGTTTTTGGTACTGGAGACTAGAAAATTAATAATGTTTTTAACAGGGCACAAACTTGACTCTTCCTCTGTTTTTTAGACTGGAAGACAGCACTCCTCCTGAGTGAACATGCTTTCTGAACACAGTGACTTGATTTTGTTGTGACAAGATGACATTTTCATGGAATGGGCTGAGGTGGTTTTTTTCCCCAGCTATGAAATCACAGTGACTTTTTAGAGTGGGACTAGTCACTGTTGTCAAGGAAAGAGTAAGATAGGTTATGCTGTTGGCAGAAATAGAAACTGGTGCAGTCTTTCTAAAAACAGTATTTCCAAGAAACCCTAAATTTTATCCTCTTTCATCCAACTTTTTCTAAGAAATGATCATAAATGTAGACAAAGTTGAGGTGTAAAGTTACTCATTAAGGACTTAAGAATTAGATAACTAGAAACCGTTTACATGCCATCTGCTGAAATAATGCAGTAGTCTTTGGTGAGGAGAAATGGCACAATGCAGGCAGTCCCTGCCTTACGGTGGGGCTGTGGTCTGATGACTCCATCCTAGTTGGTTCTGATGTAAGATGGATTCTTCTTAATTTTTTAAGTTTTCATTTTTACCTTTTATTAACAATATCTTCATAAATCTAACCTCTGCACATCTGCGAGTTAGCGTCTGAACTTGCCCACCAGCAAGTTCTGCACTGCAGCATTGTTATGTAGTACATATTAGAATTAATATGTACAAAAAACCTAGACTATTGTAAGTGCAGTTCGTCAAAACTGTATTACGCCGTAAGTTAGGGACTTCCGGTACTAATCGGCAGTTCAATTTAACATCTGTTCATTGAGTACCTATTATGTGTTGGGGAGGAAAAGCAGGACACGGAACTGTGGGTACAGCATGATCTCAGCTTTGTAAACACATTTTATAATGAGATAGTACTATATAATAACATATATGTAAACAAAAAAGAGAAGACACCAAAACTTAAACAGTTGTTTATGTGATTTTAGTTTTCTTTTTTTGCGGTTTACATGTTTTCCTAACAATTTTCTGCTGAATCCATCACTTCGTTAATCAAAAAAGTGAGTTTGAAAAAGTAAATTCTCCAGCAATCTCATTTAAATAAAGATTTGTCATTTTTAAAGTAAATATAGTAATATATGATTTTTTAAAAAGTAGGTATGACCCTACTAGCCATTATTAGAAACACATTTGCAAAAATATCAAGTACCTCAAAGTCAGTTTGCTTTGATAAAAGTAAAATATATCACAAATATTAAGGAATTGTACATAAGAGGTTCATAATCTTTGAGTGGGGAGGATCCCTCCTCAATTTTATATTTAAAAAAAAGCATACATGGTAAAAAATTCAGAAAAGCACAGTAGGCCATAAAATAAAAATGCCTCCCTGCTTGCATCTTACAACCTCCATGTTATTCCCGACACAACCTCTTAACAGTTTCTTATGTAATACTCAGACATTTTTTTATGCATAGATAAGCAAATATGTAATCTTTATTTTTTAAATAAATGGGATCATATTATGTGTACCCTGCATCTTGCTTTTTTACTCACAATCTTGAGGATCTTTCTTATCAACACATAGCTACCTCACATTAATGGCTGCACAGCATTCTGCTTTAGGAATGCACCCCAAATATCCAGTTCTCTGGTGGCAGACATTAAGGTTATCAGCAGTTCTTTGTTTGTTTTTGCTTTCCTATTACAAACATTGGTACATGAACATCCTTGGGGAGTTACCTTCTTGTTGCGAAAATATACCCATAGGATACATTTGTCTAATTAGTTTGCAGTTTGGATTTTTAAAGATGTGGCTCAATTGTTTGCTCCAAAGTATGTTTGAATTTACGCTACCCCCAAGAGTGTAAAAGAACGTCAGTCCCCTCACCCTTGCCAACACTGTTTTTCTTTTTCATCTCTGTCAATGGATAGATGAAAATTGTATGCATTTTATACTCATTGTGCTTATCATGAATGAACGTTATCTTTTAATATTGGTCATTTCTGTTTTCTGAGAACTACTTGTTTGTATTTTTTGCCAACTTTTTTTTTGGTGTGCTGTTCATCATTTTCTTAATGAGTTATAAGAATTCCATGTATATGAAGAAAATTAACTCTTTGTCTAGCAAATGCTGTAAATACTTTCTCCCTGTGTATCTTCTGATGATGAATGTTCATGGAACTTTACCCACAGTATCTATGGAGTCAAATTTGTAAGTGCTTTTCTTAATGGCTTCTGGGTCTTGAGTCTTGCTTTTATCTTTCCCACTTCAAAATTTAACAAACGAACAAACAAAAATCACCCATCTATCATAGTATTCTCATGTTTCATTTTTACATTGAGTCTAGTATCTGACTCAAGAAGGAATCTGACTCTCATCCCACACCCATGACTGAAAGCGTCCAGTTAACCTGTTGCCATAACCTTCATTCCCATATGTAGGTGGATCTGTACCTAGGTCTTCTTTCCCTTTATCAATAACTCTACTACCAAAACTGCTGTAATAATTAACTTCATAATATGTTTTAATAATCTTCCACCACCCTACTCCCTGAGCTATCCCAGCTACTGGTAAACATTAATATGTGAAACTTCATATTATTTTGTCTGTTTTCCCAAAAAAGTCAGTTGCCTTCAAGGCAGCTCTGTCTCATGGTGATCTATATGTAATGGAATGAAGTATCGCCCAATTTTACACCATCTTAAAGATATTTGATATGTTTGAGCCCAATTTTTTCAACTAAAATTGTTATTGAGCTGCATGATTTTGAGATTAATTTAGGTTTAATTGACAGTCGATGATATTGAGTCTCTGTCCAAGAAAGCGCCTTTAATATAAGTTGTTAACCTTATCCCTACCTTGTCATTATATATTGATGGAGAGAAACTGTTAGGTTAGGATCCAACACAGTGGAATATTTTTTTTAATCGTTTTATTAGGGGCTGATATGACTCATCACAATCCATACATACATCAATTGTGTAAAGCACATTTTTACATTCATTGCCTTCGTCATTCTCAAAACATTTGCTCTCCGCAGTGGACTATTTTAACAGGAATGTGCTGTAGACCTGACAGTTCAAGGAAGGGTATCTTACAAGAAACGGAAAATGTCAAGCAGACCATGTTTTGAAAAATAGCCAAAAAACTCTTTATTAAAAAGACATTCTCCCAGATAGAAACAATGTATGGATCAAATTAGCTTTTTTAAGTGTCATACAAGACTCAATTGCACATCCAAGGACAGTGTGCTTTCAGATCCTGTTGCTACTGCGGATGTCCTCGTGAAGGGACAAACACACACAACAGTAGCAGGTGTGCGTCCTTACATTCTGTCTGCAAAATATGCGTACCAAACAGTGACCCTGGGCCTCCAGAAGCCGATAGCAGGATAGCCCGCAAACAGTTCTGGTCTAATGAGGTCAGGCTGTAAGGAGGGATATCTACTAACAAAGTACAAGTAGTATCTACCCGGGGAGGCATACAGAGAATTTTATAGGAAACTGAGGTGTGGGGAGTTGCATACAAAAATGGTACACTGTTCAAGCTGAGAGTTGAAGGGATCTTCAGAAGAAATGGCATTCTAGGCAGAAGAAATAGCATTTGAAAAGACAAATCAATATAAGTGACCTTCATGCAATTCAGAATTACCAGAGATTGGGAGGAGGGAAGAGAAGGAATGTCAAATCGTGCGCTTTGTGAACCACCCTTGGGTCCTGAGAAATTGTCCAATAGTGGAGAGCCAAGCAGGGTGTCCAAGTGGTGAGGTGGGAAAAGCATGATCCCACGGTTATCTTAGGTGCTGTAGTATGTCTAAGGAGCCCTGCTGGCTAAGTGGGCTAAGAACTGGGCTGCTAACTAACCATTGCAACATATGTGGTCTACAACTCCAGCTGCTCTGCAGGAGAAGTTGAAGCGACCTGCTCCTGTAAAGATGGATAGCCCCAGAAGCCCTAGGCAACAGCACTTCAACTCTGTGGATTAGAATCGCCTCTAGCACTCACTCATAGCGACCCTGTAAAACAGCGAAGAACTGCCCTGGTGGGTTTCTGAGACTTTTGACTCACTCTTTAGGGAAGTAGAAAACCAGGTCTTTCTCCTGTGGTGTGGCTGATGGAGTTGAACTTCTGACCTTGAAATTAGCAACCTCCACCCCGAGAAATATAAAGCAGAATGCTTTGGTCTAATGGGAGAGCTAAGTACGCGCCCTAAAGGCCTGTGTGACTTCATAACTTCCCTTATGTCTAGTTTCTCACGACAGTCTTTGGAGACACCACGTGGTTCACATGACCATCTTTATTTTCTGAGAAACGGCGCAAAAAGTTCTGTCAGGAGATGACATTGATCTTGGAGGGGATTTCTTACTTAAAACTGCTTTGGTCTTTACCTTTAAAGACTCGGTAATCCCCAGCAACTCAACCCAGTTAAGTGACTCGCAGAACCACTGGACTAGTATCTTTACATTTTCACTCACAAGAACCCCCCCAGAAGGCTATTCATCCCAACAGGGATGAGATGCATGCATATCTTATAATCAGGGACTCGGAATCCTTTAAGATCCAAGTAGTCTCTAACAACATAGAAGACTTTTACAAAATTGCGTGTGGGCAACTAAGATTCTAAGGATTTTGTGGGCAGCCCACTTCATCGAGCTTGTGGAGGCGGGTCAGAATGAGGAGAAATGACTCAATTCTTGCTGGCTTGCCTGTGTGTTCTCTTGCTTGGAGCGCTTGCAGTATTTGTATGAAAGAAATATTATGGTACCGACTCCAAGAAGCAGAAGAACAAAGAGTACGTACAAAGCGGTCTGTGCTTCGACTGTAGCTAGTGCTAGCCCCAGGAACCAAACATTCACCTCTCCCACAGGACTGACGGTGGGAACTGCACCTAGGTGAAGACAACAAACAGAAGGTGGCATGTGCACCAGGACTGATTTAGCCCTGGGTCTAAAGTAACCCGTATAAAAACAAAAAGCAAACCCATTGCCATCGAGGCCATCTGACTCCTAATGACCACCGGGCAGTCTAGAACTGCTCCCTAGGGTTTCCAGAGCAGCTAGTGGCTTTGAACTGCTGACCCTGTGGTTGGCACCTCAACATGTAACTCACTGCTAAGCTCAAGATAAAATCCCATTGTTGAGTCAGTTCTGACTCCTGTTGATTTGATAGGGCAAAGTTGAACTCAGGAGTAGTTGGTTGGTTCAAGCAGCTGGCCCTTCAGTTATCAGCCAAGTGAACCATTGTGTCCCTGGGGCTTAGCCCAAGGTAGAGGCTTGGAATTCAGAGATTACATAGGTCTCCCAAATCTGCCTGGCCAGAATAGGCTCACTGCTGAGGATGGAAGTGCACGCAGCAAACAACTACTGTGTTTGAAACAACTCTTAGCAAGGAGTCCTGGTGGTGCTCTGTGTTAGGCAGGCCAGAGTTTCAAGCCCACGAGCTGCCCATCTGCTCATGAAAACATAGTCTCGGAAACCCTACTTAGGGTAGCTCTGATTCGGAAGCTGCTTAGTGGCATTGGGTTTTGGACTTGACCATCAATGAAAAGATAAACCAGATGATCATCACATTTACATATCATGTTATACCTTTCCAGTCAGCAACTTTTAGATGCCTGCAGTCTGCCAGGCACTTGACTAGTTTCTTCCCTAAGGTCACACAGCGAGTTAGTGGTGGAGCTAGAAGACGGCTTATCTGCTGGTCCCAAACCAGGGCCCTGGATTTTAGTTGCAACATTATCCCCAAGTATGCTTCATTCCTTCACAAGTATGCCAAGCAGTCAGAGGAAGCAATTTTGTTTTCTTTTAAGTTTTGGATTTTTTTTAAAGATCATGTTTTGGGGGGCTCTAAAGCTCTTAATCCACGCATCAATTGTATCAAGAATATTTGTACATACGTTGTCATTTTCTAAACATTTACTTTCTATTTGAGCCCTTGGTATCACTCCTTTATTATTTTCATATCTTACACCAACCACTGTCTCCCTTCATCCACATTTCAGTTGTTTGTCCCCTTCAGGAGTGGTGGGGGGTTATGCGTCATCATACATTATGCTCCCTTTCCCCTTCCTCCCCTCCGCCCCCACAGGAAGTAAGTTTTAAAAGGGTTGGAGAAGCAGAAGGAAGCTAACAAAGCACACTGAAGACCCCTTTTCTGTTCCCTCATCTTCAGGCTTTTGTCCCTCCCAGAACCCCCTCTCACCTTCTGATTGGAGACAAGGGTGAGGCCCTGCAGCTGGGTCCGGGAAACCATTGCATCGAGTTAGGGAGGCATAGAACTTGGCTGACTCTTTGGGGATCCTTGGCAGAGAAGGGTCAGTGTAGTTCACAAAGTGCAGCCCAAACCTTTCAGCAAAGCCTGTGGCCCACTCGAAGTTGTCCATCACACTCCAAGCCGTGTATCCTCTGATATCCACCTTATCCTGCACAGCTGCTCAACACAGAAGACCAATTATGAGCCGAGCTTATCATATAAGACATCTTTGTCCCAGGCCTATGGAAGCCATTGTTGGCCCACAATCCTAAATGTTCCTACAATCCCTGAGTTGCCCCAGAGTTTGGGTTGTGATTGTTAATTGATCCTCTGTGGCCAGATCTGGCAAACTAGTAGCATTTTTCCAGAAAGCCTTCAAACTAATCTCACTGAGTTATCTAAAACCTCTGTTCCTCTCAGGATGCTGGTTTTGGGCTAGTAATTTGGAGTGTTGAAGCTCTTCGCTATAGTAAGTGGCCCTACTTGTTTCTTTTGGCAGGTGCATTGCTCATTTCTCTCTACTCGGCAATACCAACCATTCCCTTGCTCTCATATTCCCATCTCAAGCTGTTCTGAGTTTGAGGATCTCACAATTTCCTTTGGGAAACAACAGACCTTACAAACAAACACCAAACCTACTACTACTGGCTGCTGTTCCAACCCTGCTCAGGAGTGCTATTCAGAGACGAAGGCAGAAGCAAATGACTCCAACCAGGAACTAAGGTCTAGCTGGATTATCAGGCAACTGGGTTTGTTTGCTAACTAGATTTATGAGAATTAAAATTCAGAAGGTAGTCCAAAAGAAAGGTCTATACCCAATAGGAGGGAGCGTTTTTCTCATTTCTAGGTGAGGGAATTGGCTCCTGGGTGCAGTATCACCCATGGCAGGCGGTAGTGGATGCTTCCAACAGTGCAAGGTGGACACAGAAGGTGTGGATCTGCCGTACCTTTGAGGGCCTCGTTGATGTAAGTGCGGAGGTAGTGGATTCTCGCTGTGTCATTGAGGTCCGCATCTCGCTGGGACACACCGTTCTCTGTTATATAAATTGGTGGGTTGTTGTACTCCTCCTTGATCCAGTTCAGGATCCTCCTGAAGCCAAAAGGTGTCATCTTGAGCCAGAAGGAGCCAGAGTCTGGCCAAGACCAATCTGTGATGGAAGCGACTCCCCTAGGGGATAAAAACCCAAAGATGAGGTCTCCTTTTGAGAGTCCCAAGAGGACCTTGGAACAAAACACAAACATGACTTATACTAGGAATAACTTTAGGTTTTTTCTACCATTAGATGTCATAACTCAAAACAACGGTATAATCACCTCAGAGTCCCCCTTGTCACTTGTTCTAGTTCAACCACTCAAAACTTGGAAAAAGCCACTTCAGCTCTTTCTCCGGCAAGCTCACTACCGGTACAGTGGAATGAACTTAATTCATGGACCCTAACCCTGCGAAGACTCTTGAACAGACTGCATCTCAGCAGAGGTGAAAGGTTCTAGTTTGCTCATGTCAAACCTGTACAAAGACTACAGTGCAGTTGTTGGAACAGAACAAGGGGATATACATGCTTTGAAATGCAGAAAGATCTTGATTAGGGCTGTGTCCTTTCGCCGTACTTATTCCACATGTAGAGCAAATAGTCTGAAACACTGGGTGATACGAAGATGCAAGCAGCAATAGACAACATGATAAAAAGAACAGACTGAAGCCAAAGATTTCCTTTTACTTGAATCCACAACTAATGCTCAAGGAAGCAGCAGTCAAGAAATGACATGTGCTGGGAAGTAAACCCGAGGAGAAAGGAACAGACTGACAGTTCAGGAGGGATTGTGGGGAAGGAGGAGGATGGGGGAAGGGAGCAATGAGCAAACAGTGCCATAGACGGGGTCAACTAGGGAATTAACAACAACAAGGAGGATGTAAAGATCTCGGGGGTGTTGGAACAACAGCAATCTAGCTGAGAGGAGTTACTAAGAGGCAGAAGTGCAAATGTGATAGTAGGATAGGAGGAAGGTCAAATAAAAGATCTAGGAAGCAAAGGTATGGATAGAAGTATAAACAGGTGTGCACTTGTGTAAATATATTAATTCATAAAAATAGAGGTATTGGCCTATGTACATATATGTACATACATTGGGGAAGTGGATGGACTTTGGGCCTCTGCTCATACACTCCCTCAACGCATGAACACGTTGTTCTAACAACCTGGCATTCTGTGATGCTCACCCTCCCAGAATTATCACTGAAGACAAAATGGGTGCACAAGCAAATGTAAAGAAAGTTGATGGTGCCTGGCTGTCAAAAGATAGTGTGTTTGGGGTCTTAAAGGCTTGAAGTTAAGCAAACAGCCATATAGCAGAGAAGCAACATGCCTACATGGAAGAAGCACACCAGCCTGTGTGATCATGAGGTGTCGAAGGGATCAGGTAAAGAGCATTGGAAGACCCCAAAACAAGCAAACATGTTGCTGAGAACATGGGGGTTGGAGTAGAGACCCAAAACCCATCTGTGGACAATAGACCGTCCCCCCAGAGAAAGGTCACAAGGAAGAGATGAGTCAACCAGGGCACAGTATAGCACTGATGAAATATACAATTTTCCTCTGGTTCCTTGAGGCTTCCTCACTCCCCACTATCATGCCTTTCAGTTCTGATGACCTGAGAGGTCATATAAGCCCCTCGGGAACAGAAATGGGAGTTGCGATACCAGTAGGATAAGAGAAAGGTGGAGAGAGGCGGGGAGAAAGGGGGAACCCATCGCAGTGATCGATCCATTATCCCCCCACCCCCAGGGGGAAGAACAACAGAAACCATGGAGGAAGGGAAACAGCGGTCAGTGTAAGATATGAAAATAACAATTATAATTTATCAAGGGATCATGATGGGGGGAGGGAGGGAACAAAGAGGCGCTGATACATGCCAAGGGCTCAAATAGTAAATGTTTAGAAAATGATGGCAGCATATGTACAAATATGCTTGATGCAATTGATGTATGGATTGTCATAAGAGCTGTAAGCATCCCCAATAAGAGATTTTTATAAAAATCACGTGCGCAAATCTGCCAAAGACCCCTTTAAAGTGTTCAAAACAAAAGCTGTCACCTTGCAGACAGAATTCGGTTCCACCTGACCCACATCAAGATATTTTCATTGGCCTTATGCCTGTGAGAGCTAGTTAATAAATAAAGAGGACTGGCGACTCTGTGCGTTTGAATTGTGTGGATGAAGAATATACCATGGACTGCCAGAAGAAAGAAAGAATTTGTGCCAGAAGAAGTACAGCCAGCATGTTCCTTAAAAGCTAGGGTGGCCAGACTTCATTTCACATACTTTGGACATGCTATCAGGCAGGCCCCGTCACTGGAGATGGAGCGCAAGCTTAGAAACAGAGGGGCAGTGGAAAAAAGAGGACCCTCCATGAGAAAGATTGACACTGCCTGCAAGAGTGCGCTCAAACCTAGTGGTGACCAACGAGAGCTTTGTTCTATTGTGCTCAGGGCCGCCTTGAATCAGAACGACCCGACTCGGCGGCACCTAAAGAACAACACTGGGGTGACTACAGGGGCCAGATACTCTGGGTCCTGTTTCCAAGGCCCGTCTCTTTCTGTAGAGATGGCACGGTGAGAGCAGCAAACGGCCAAAGAAGGAAGGCTAGGGGGACACAGACACATGAGCAGGTCAAGCGTATGCATTACATATAAAGACAAAGCAACTTAGCTATTTCTTAGACTTTGGGGGTCGGGGTGGCGGGGAATATGCTTTATTTTATAAGTAACGATTTTTCTCACTCAGTTGAACTGAAAGCGGTCAATTTTGTAGCTGGGGCAGAAGTCGCCTGGCAGACCGTTCTAGGGCTCACAGGCACTAAGAGTTGAGTGAAGGGAAGTGGGCAAATAGATAGTGTCCTGGAGCAGGGCCAGCTGGCAGTCTCCTCAGAGCCCTTGTCAAGAGGCTGCTGGTTTCCGGATGTCGTCGCTGGTGGTTGGGTTTTGGTTTTATGCGTAACAAAGGCTTTGCTTTTAAGAGATTGCAAGTACATTAGGTAATATAGCACGTTCTTGAACTCTGTCATCTAGCAACTTTTATTAAAAGAAACTAAAAATAGGCGAGTAGTCATTGTTCTAACCCTTAGATGGGATTATTTTAAGGCTGGCTGCTTTTGCACATAAATTACAAAATAACTATGTATTTTTCACTGATAGTCTAGAAAGTGTTAGGGAATAAACATTTAAATCATTTCCTCAAATAATTGCTAATGTGTATTAGATCCTAGAATTTCCAAATCGGTTGTTTCAGCTACGAGGCATTAAAAAAAAATGTATACCCATTACATTTATAAGAAATCAGGAAAGATAAAACCTTTGAGTAAGCTCTAAGTCTAAACAAAGAAACTAACTTTACTATTCTCCAAACAGTGAAGGAAAATACTGTTTAGTATAAAGAAATAATGTAATGCTCTTTCACAAGACGATGACTAACTTTGCTAAATCTTCAGATGCTATTTGAAACTGTAACCAAAGCCCTTGCAGTCGATCAATTCTGACTCCTCGAGACCATACAGGACAGAGTAGAAGAGCTCCCAAGCTGGTTTACAGAAGCCAGCTGCCTCATCTATCTCCCTTAGAGCAGCTAATGGATGTGAACTGCTGATCTTAACATCTAAAATGCAAATCCATGAAACAGGCACTTCCTTTCCCCCTATTTATCTGAACATTTTACTGCATTTTAGGCTAGAGTTTACACAGCAAATAAGTTTCCCTTTAAAATACAAATTATTCCTTGACGTTAGTGATTACTGTGCTAATGTGCCAGAATTCTCCTCATTTCCACTTTGCCTGCCTTGTTTCCATTGCTCCAGTTACCCTAGTCCCTCCTTGCTTGCTCATCTTTGCTTTGGGCAAATGTTGTCCCTATGGTCTCCGTAGTTGATCTGATTCTTGGTGTTTCCCAAAGCGGCCGATACCACCTCTGCAGGGCACTGGAATGATCCAGGGTGGGACTGCAAAAGCAGATACCTACACTTTATTCTGGATTATGGGCTATAGTAAAAAATTTTAATTGTCAGGTGGGTGCTGAGTAATTTTCTTTTTCCCTGCAAGGATCTAGGAACCTATGCACATTCCCCATGAATTGTATTGTTTATTTTATATGCCAGTCTATGATTTGGCTGAAAGATGGCTTCTGGGAGTGACTACAGGTCCAGGCTAAAAGGACTGAATTCTAGAGGTTTCATCAGTCTTTATCAGTGCAATAATTCTGGTCTTACTTATGACTTGGCTTTTTCGACATTTTCTCCTATTCTTTTTTTTTATCATTTTATTGGGGGCTCGTACAATTCTTATCA